TCTAGCATGGAGAGACACCTAAACGGCTGCATTACAGTTGGCTGCATAACTCCTCAATCCGTACACATATTGACACGCTGCGGAACAACCAAAACAGTTGTAGCTACAGTTTCTCCCATTCATGATGGGCTGTGCCTTGAAATTGAGTACTTTTACACTGTGCTTGTGGTGATTATGCTAAGGCCCTTCCCTAGGCTCCATATTTGCAGAATCGAGAAACCATAGTGTTGGAGCTGACTGTTTTGTCTGCAGCATTTGCACTTTTGTGCCTTGTTGCATAGCATTCCCACAAATTAAATTCTATGTCGTGCATGCCTTAACTCATTTTTAACTCTCCAGTGGTGAGATGAAAACTGGAGTTAATGCAATTATGGGGCCCACAGGCAGTGGTAAAACAACGTAAGTTCAGATTTATGAGTATTTATTAGAGCTGTACATCGATTTATCTTAGATTTATAGAGGTATAATCTTTGATTGAAGCTATTATATATGCTAGAATGTTAAAGCGACGGACTATTTTTCTTCTCTGCTATACTGATGTATTGTCGTGTGTATATGATAGGTTGCTGGATTTGCTGGCAGATCGTAAGGACAAGACTGGTAAGAGTGGCAAAGTGCTCATTAATGGTCAGAAGAGGCAGGCCAACTACAAGACAATGGTTGCATATGTTGTTCAGGTGAACAGACTTTTCTCTCATTTGGTGTTCAATAAATACAAATAAGTGTATATCTTCCCTCCTTCACATTTCCATTGTAGCTATAATTATACTTCGATGTCCTTTTCTTAGGACGTTTTTGTTTCACTATGAGGTAGCAACAAAGCAATCATCTCGGCAAAACAAGGGCATCAAAACTACCCATTTACCAAAGTGCTATCTATATATACCTCTATCGATCAAACATCAAGTTTCCAGGTTTTCTTTGTGTCTAGCATGATTCAGTATTATCGTGTCTCTATACCTCCACCCAGGATGACGTTGTGATGGGAACACTGAGTGTGAGGGAAAATCTAGAGTTTTCGGCAGCTCTCAGACTCCCAGGTCACATGACCCGGGCCCAGAGGAAGGAGAGAGTTGAAAGGGTTATTGAAACTCTCGGTCTCTACCGATGCGCCGACACCAAAGTTAGTAGCAGTAATAAGTGACGAGTTTCTGTGCCGTAGCACACCTTGTGTTTTGAGCTCTGCCTGCTGAGGTTTCCAGGTATCTAGTTCGGTCGATAGTTGAGTGTCGTGGGTTCAGTTCTTACCCAAGCCAGCTCTTGTTCCTGAGTGTTGTTGCACCTTGTGGTTTAGCCTTGTGAAAGGAATGCGACATGGCACAACCATGATTTTTTATACCTATTGCCAGAATATTATGGTTGCCATCAACTTAACCTCATTTAGACAGTGTACTTTGCACAGTGTATATTAGTATATGCAGTTGACAGTAATCATGCGGGTCCATCATGTACAACACGAGGCAAAAGGTCCATCATATACAACACGAGGCAACTTTCTACAATCAACAATGTTGCTGTGTGTGTAGTAGTGCGGTAATTAGGTTGCCCAGTTTCTTGTTTTGCTACAACGTGTTTGACAGTAACCACAACTTCTGGCAACACCTGCTGCATGTTGCCTTGTGAGTTTTGGCCTTATGGGTGGCAACTTTGATGAAAGCAATAAACAGGTAGCGGTATTAAGGAGAAAAAAGCTCCTGTCGGGAGTCTAATTCAAGTGTCGTGACTGGTAGTCTAGATGGAGTTTGCCACCCAGTTTAATTTGTGCTGCACTCCCAAACACCCAGACTCTCCCACTATACAATAGCTACAGCTCCCCAACAAAAGCAGGTCTTTTTCTATACTGTTAGGTTGGGACGGAGTTCTTTCGAGGGGTGTCAGGGAGGGGAGAGGAAGAGAACCAACATTGGAATGGAGCTCATTATCGAGCCTCAGGTTCTCTTCCTGGATGAGCCTACCACTGGTCTCGATGCCCACACTGCCGTGTCTGTTGTCTCTCTACTCAAGAAGTAAGTTTCTAATATCCCGAAGTTCACAGCTCCATATTCACAATTTTGTATTAAAGGGAATGTGTCAGTGCAAAATTTAAGAAAAACTGTTACTGAAAATGGAAACCTAATTGCATTCTCTTGCACTGGGCCCTATATTTACTTCTGTCTTTAGTGACACTTCAAAATTTAGCCCTTATCTACTGCCACATTCCCTTTAAAGTGCCATGTGTCTACTATGAGGTCAAAGGCAATCAAGAATCTCTAATTCTCTCCGTGCAGTCTGAGTGTGAATGAGAAGAGGGTGATAGTTCTGTCAATCCACCAGCCTCGCTACTCCATCTTCAAGTTGTTTGACTCCCTCACTCTTCTCTCTCAGGGTTCAACCGTCTACCACGGACCTGCACACCTGGCTCTGGCCTACTTTGACAAACTGGGTGCATTATTATTCTCTAGGCTCTGAGCTAGCACTGTGCACAGAATCTTCAAGGCTTAAAACTCTTTGGGGCCCAAAGCACCTCGAGGGTCAACTTACGTCAGTAAAACGCGACGGAAACGCAACGCATGGGGACCTCCCGTGTTAAAGTGCACTACCTTACCGCCTGAGCTATTCACTCCACGCTCCTGAAGTAGGCTAAAACGTTACCTATATTCGGGATTACGTAGGCAATTGCACCCATAATGTGGACCCCAATGAGTTAAGCCCTTCTTCCGGCATTAGTAGTACATACTACATTTTAAAAAAGATGATATATAGGTAAAGTGTTCAGTAGAAACAAGTAGAAAGGTACTATATACGCTATCTGATCGGCTATAAAACATTAAGCGTTACAGTGGGACGGAGCTGCAATACATTAGCTTAGTGAGGCAATCCTTGCTGTGTGCTAAGGGCCCTCGGCTTGTTTGCCTTGCCTTTCTACTACAATCACGTACCATATCTGCAGGTCTGGGTGCATGTCTCGATCTAACAGGCAGTGGCCCTGCACTGCGATGTTGCCATACATCTCTCACTGTGACGGCCGACGCTCTTGTTTCATCACTGTCGTGTGGCGTATCTGTCTGTCTGTTTGCGTGTGCGACCCAAGGGATCGCTTTTATAGCCAACGCTTCTTGTTTTATCGCTTTCGTGTGGCGTGTCTGTTCGTACATACAGTCGATGCTTCTTGTTTTACTGCTGTCGTGTGGCGTGTCTCTGTCTGTGTGTGTGTGTGTAAATCATCAAAGCTAAATTAACCCTCCCATACATCACTCTATGGAGTTACGAGGTATGCATACATGTAACTCCTTCAGGTTTAAGTTGTGAAAAAAGATGATAAGTAAAGCGTTCAGTAAGCTACTACGCTATCTGATTCAGGTTTAAGATGTGAAGAACACGAAAATCCCGCTGACTTCTTCCTGGACACCATCATCCACCACGAGAAACAACTCCGCCAGAGCTCGCAGGAGACTGTTCTCTTCTCAAAGGCTATAATAGCTGGTGAGGAAGAGACTGAAGATGGAGTGATAGTGTGTTCAGAGAGTGGAGAAAAGATGGTGAGACTCGTGGAGAGCTACAGAAAGTCGGAGGAGTACGGAGAGCTACGAGAGAGGATTGATCCAGTCCTGCAGAATGTGGTGGAGGAGAAGAGGAAGGAACCTCTGGGGAGACAAGTCGCCAGAAAGATGTTCACACGTGAACTCTACGCCACCTCCTTCCTTTGGCAGGTAATGCCTCGTGAAAAACCTCTGTGGCCGGATCAGTTAAGAGTCAAAAGTAACTGTGATGGCCGTAAAAGAGTGTGCTAATATTCTTAGTTGATGCCGACAATTACAGCTTGAATAAGCTCTTGAATTAAGCTCGACTTCCTCCTTTTCTCCTAACAATATAAAAAGCACAGTAGGACATGTTCATATAGCTAGTACACCAAACATATAGACTACTGCTCTAATAAGAACTGCCTCCCTGCCTCACTTGTCCAATATTTCCACCTGTTTCGAGTGGTCCTAATAAAGCCTATCAATAGAAAAAGCACTATCCTATAGTGCAGTTCGCCAAACGTTCTGTCCATCTTTTCTCCTCAGCTGCTGATTGTGACCATGCGTTCAGTAAAGAATCTTTTGAGGAGTCCTCAGCTCTCAGTATTCCAGGTATGTGTGTAGCCACACCTCTTGACTCCATACTGTCTATGACTATGACAGAGTAATATTATATCTGTTGTTGTTGTCTGTTTTCTTTTAGCTTATTTTCAATAGTGTTTTGGGTGTCATTATTGGCATCATCTACTGGCAGTTGGACACTGACCCCAATAGCTTCACTGACAGGTTAACCCCTACCTGTAGCTTTATAGATTTTTCTGGATTTCCAAGTATCAGTGATATCGCGTCTTTTTCCAGAATCGGAGTGTTTTTCTTTATTGCTACCAACCAGTCGTTCGGTAGTCTTGGCGCTATTCAGCTGTTCATTCAACAGAAAGCACTGTTTATGTGAGTCAGACAGACAACAGTGGAAAAGTATCGCGTTTTTATTCCATTTTTGTTTCTTTCTTGTCTCATGGCCAGTCATGAGAATGCCAGTGGGTATTACAGAGTGTCAGCATTTTTCATCTCCAAGATCGCTACTGATCTTATTCCTCTTCGCTTCTTTCCAAACCTCATTTTCGCCATCATCGTGTACTTCATGATAGGTTTGTTGTTAGCTAACTGCCTACAGTGGAACATCCAATAAGGGACCCTCCCAGATAGGGAAAATCTCTCTACAAAGACACTTCATGCTGGTATTTTTGACATCCGAGATAGGGACGACCTCTCTACAAGGGAAAAAACTGTTGGCCTCATAGTGTCCCTTGTTCGAAGGTTCCACTGTATTGAAGTTTATGTAGCTACTAGAATTGTTCAAGAGCCGCTTGCGAAAGTTTTCTCCAAGAATTTCTTTGGGCAATACTTTTTGTTTAGCGGGGCAACCAAAGAACATTCCGATGTAATATTAACGAGTGTGACTAAATTTCAGGTTTACAGGTGAAGGCTGATAAGTTTTTCATCTTCTTGTTGATTCTGATGTTGGTGAATATTTGTGCCGTGTCCATTGCGTTTTTCATCAGTGCCGGAGTCAGGAATGGCGAAATTGCCAATATACTCATCATTCTCCCCTTCATTTTCTCATTGGTGCGTAGAGCAACTAACCACTATTAACAGCAGTTCCATCACTCCTATATGCTTTTTTCTATAATATAGCTCTCAACTAGCTGGTAGTTGCAACCAGAGCAACTAACCACTACTAACAGTAGTTCAATTTGTCACTCCTTATGCTTTTTATCTATAATAAAGCTCTTTGGAGGACTATTGATTTCCCTGGATTCCTTGCCTGTATGGGTGGCTTGGCTGAGCCACTTTAGTTTCATAAAGTATGGCATCGAGGTAGGGAGGCCTTTCATTCCACGACTATTATAACATGTTGACTTTCGTTTTCACAGGGGTTCTCCATTAACGAAATGAATGGTTTACGTTTCCAAGGACCCTGGTAGGTTTTGTGTATATCTGTACTGTTGTGTTTGCAAAAGCAATGGGCGTGGTAGTGTTTATTGCACTTTTTTTCAAAACGCACACATTGTGGTAGAAATTGCTCACTAGAGGGGCAGCCCCTGTTGTTAATGCCCTCTCTTTCTCTCGTCCCAAACTCCACACATTTACATGTGAACGCCCAGTCAAGTGGAGCAAGTATTTGATGTCGTGCAGGAGGGCTGCATCGCCAACACCCCATTTACTCCCCCAGACAATTGCACGTATGTTTTGCAGAGACTAGGAAGGTTATAGTGTGGCAATAGTATCTCTACCAGTTAGCACAAAACTGGCCTATCGTGCCGTAATTGCCCAGTTTTTGAAAGGAGAATCCACTAGTAATCCCTAGTAAAGTGAGTATATAATATAACACATATACCTGCTTCCTTGTGTTACCATAAGCAGCTTCATTGTCCATATCATTCAAACTCTTCGTCTCTCAATTCCAGATGTTTGCTATATAGTAGCTTTATACCTGTTGCCTTTGTGTTTCCATAACTTGCACCACCATGGTCGGTCTTCAAGCTCTTGCGAACCACCTAGAACTCATGCGAATGACCCATTCACACTTTCTTTCTCCGCACTGAATCATTATGCTAGTGACTGTGACAATAGGCGGGTATATTATATGTATTGCATGACACCACTGTATTGCAAGAGGAATGTCGAATCAAAGAGTAATTTGTACACAAAAGAATGAGAGATTAGCTTCTTGTGTTTTCAGTTAGAGCTTTAGGTATAATTATATATATAATATGTATGTGAGGGGGCATGGGAAAAGGGACCTATATGGCTGGAATGTGAAAATTAAGTTTTTGAGGGTGAAAAACCACAAAAACTTAATTTTCACATTCCAGCCATATAGCTAGGTCCCTTTTCCCATGCCCCCTCACACATATATACTTATCCGTGAAGTTTTTTTGCTCTTCCCGTTCAAGATGGTTCCTCTCTTAGAAATATAGCTCAAAACATTATATATACGCCGCGACTTGTGTCCCCAACTTCTCAAACACCTTATTTTCTCTTCGATTTGAGAGACTTCTGCTATGTCATACTCAGGACTGCCTGTGCATTTGATGGACTGGCTCAGCTGGGCCAGCTGGGATATGGCAACACAGTATCTGCTCTCTGGTGGGACGTGTTTGCTCTCGTTCTCTATGCTTCCATCTTCCTGGTCCTCGCCTATGTTGTCCTCAGGCTCATCAAGAAAGAAAAGTGATGTAATTTTTGACTATCAAGTGTAACAACGACTAACTTCATTCATATTTCCATTAGCTGCAATCCTATCAGTCATTATTATTGTCTGCTGTATCATATTTATTATCATTGTGATTTCAGCATTAGTATTATAATACGTACTCCGCTTTTCTCGTATCATCAAAGGTACTTTGTTAGCGCAGCGTGTCCTTTTCTGTAGCCGTATTTCACAAGATTTGGCTCTGTGTTTCCCTTTTTTTTTAGCTTCAACATGTAGCTTGCTGTACTATGATAAACCAGGTCTGCTTTCCGATTGTGCTGTTGTTGCAAGTGCGCATGCGTGTAAACATTACGCGCGTTGAGGGAAGATGAGTGAAGGCGATAATGTCGGAGCAACTGAAAGACGGCCGTCTAACGCCGCGGAAAGCTGTGCCGTCGGTGGTACTGTGTATGAAGCTGACTTCACGCCAGAAATCGAGCAGGAGAATCTGATAACGTGCGTCGCCAAGGAGGGAAAGGGAAATGTTCCAAAATCCGACAACAGCCGCGTTGCGGTCGGCGCTTCTCCGTCCGTGTCGTCGATCACGTTTCACGACCTCGGCTACGAGGTGACGCAGAGAAAGTGCTTCAGAAAGCTGCCCAACAAGATCATTCTTGACTCTGTGAGGTGAGTTTGACGCAATGACTCTGAGTTGGCTGGCTATTGAGCCGCACAGTGTAGCGCAAGACAAAGGCAACTACTGCACCTTGATCTTGGGGGGACTTTTCATTGATCTCAGTGTGGGGGACTTTTCAGTTCCAGATGGAACTTTTGTTTACCTTCGCTGGCTCTGTTGTTTGAGTATATAATAACATAGTTGGCTGACTTCCAACAAGCCTGTACCTATAGCTCTGACTCTGTCATAACATGCCTGCCCGCCTCCTTATCTGTCCAGTGGTGAGATAAGGACTGGACTGAATGCAATAATGGGACCCACTGGCAGTGGCAAAACAACGTAAGTTTTAGTTACCCAAACATCCCATAGTGTCTCTATGTATATAGTGAAAGTAAAAGGCCACATTGCTTTTCATGATGTAAGTATACTTTGTATATAACAACCAATACACAATACCCCTGCAAAATCATGTAGGCAGCTCAGCATTCAGTATGCAATTTAATAACGTTCAGCTTTGCTTCAAACAGTTACTTTTGCTAATAGGTTGCTGGATTTGCTGGCAGATCGTAAGGACAAGACTGGTAGGAGTGGCAAAGTGCTCATTAATGGTCAGAAGAGGCAGGCCAACTACAAGACAATGGTTGGATACGTTGTTCAGGTGAACAGACTTTTTTTCCACTCATTTGGTGTTCAATTACAAAAGTAAATACGAGTGAGTGTTTATATTCCCTCTTTCACTTTTCCATTGTACTTTGATGTCCGTTGGGAATAGACCTTTCGGCGACATATTAGCCGAATGCTTGTCAGTTGTTTAGTCCTTTGTTCAGGTACATAGAAATGTTCACTCTTTCACTGATGTATAGAGAGGCCGAGTGGATGGTGAATGGGACGGTGTGATAATGAGGGCTAAATTTAAAAAACTGTTACTGAAAATAGAAACTTTGTTGCATTCTTGCACTGTGTCCTGCTCTATCTTTAGTATTGTAGCATGTATGTGCTGCCACATGTTCCCTTTAATTAATACTTAGCCAGCCACGGGTATATATATATGCCCAGAGCTTCCATAAGTCCATAAGAATTTATATGTGTGTATAATACTAGGCGTTAATATGTTATACATCAATTTCTGCTTTTTTAAGGAGATACCCATGGCGTCCAAAGGTTAATACTTATAAGTGTATAATTAAGGGACTGGTTCTTCTCCCAAACATACCCATTTTGCTAACCCAATTGTATGTCGTTTCTCCAACTTACAACTATAATGGCTAACATTATTACCTCCACCCAGGATGACGTTGTGATGGGAACACTGAGTGTGAGGGAAAATCTAGAGTTTTCAGCAGCTCTCCGACTCCCAGGTCACATGACCCGGGCCCAGAGGAAGGAGAGAGTTGAAAGGGTTATTGAAACCCTCGGTCTCTACCGATGTGCCGACACCAAAGTAAAGCCTTAGAAAACTGCAATACCATGTGATGTACTGGGGCATTGACATGATAATGTTCTGGTTGATCCTTTAAAACAAGATTGGTTATGGTGATTTTCAGATATATTATCTCATCACTTTTACTTTCCAAAGCATAGACCATGCCTTGCATGAGACTGATAGCTTCTAGTCTCCAGTTTTTCAAGTGGTTTGTTGTTTTTAGTTACGCTCAACCCCCCATTTCGCTGTAGTGCATAGTTGCGAAGTGCTCCTGTACAAATATTCGCACCATAGTTGCGAAGTGATCCTGTACAAATATTCGCACCATAGTTGCGAAGTGCTCCTGTACAAATATTCGCACACATGCAGCGGTGCTTTAACTCTCTCCAATGTATCAATATGCCTTCTATTAACCAGATAGGAACGCCGTTCTTTCGAGGGGTGTCTGGGAGGGGAGAGGAAGAGAACCAACATTGGAATGGAGCTCATTATCGAGCCTCAGGTTCTGTTCCTGGATGAGCCTACCACTGGTCTCGATGCCCACACTGCTGTGTCTGTTGTCTCTCTACTCAAGAGGTAAGTACAGATAGTGTATTAACACACTTAAGGCTTATATACTGTTCTAAGCTTGCCTGTCACTGCATAAATCACACTTTGTATAACTTCTATGCACTTTGACATACAAGTGTATTGAAATGTGTTGATCCTCTACATAGTCTAAGGTGTATTTCACGTTAACCTATAATGTTCTATTACTTCCATGTTTTTTGCTCAACTATTATATCAACTGCTTTTTGGCCCATTCTTTTCCGTGCAGTCTGAGTGTGAATGAGAAGAGGGTGATAGTTCTGTCAATCCACCAGCCTCGCTACTCCATCTTCAAGTTGTTTGACTCCCTCACTCTTCTCTCCCAGGGTTCAACCGTCTACCACGGACCTGCACACCTGGCTCTGGCCTACTTTGACAAACTGGGTGAGGGCTATTAGCCAGCTAGAAGAATATTAGCTACCTACGTATGTGTACTTGTAAGGTTATAAAGTCTGCAAAATCCACAATGTTAGCCACGAACCGAAAGCCAAAAAGTTTACATTCATCTCTTTTATAATCATTCTCTTGCAATCGATCGCTAGAGTGCACAGACCATCAAACAAAAACAGCTCATCAGATTTTTTGCACATGTGTGCTATTCAATACTTCCTGGTGTAAAGGAACACCTTGGGGTTTATTTGAACACTCATAAAAATAAAAATAAATCATGGGTGTTGTTGTTCTCTTTGTTACAGGGCTCCACTGTGAAGAACACGAGAATCCTGCTGACTTCTTCCTGGACACCATCATCCACCACGAGAAACAACTCCGCCAGAGTTCTCGGGAGACTGCCGTTGCATTCACCAAGACCACCGTTAGTGAGAAGGAGGACATTGACAAATCCGCAGTGTGTTCAGAGAGTGGAGAAAAGATGGTGAGACTCGTGGAGAGCTACAGAAAGTCGGAGGAGTACGGAGAGCTACGAGAGAGGATTGATCCAGTCCTGCAGAATGTGGTGGAGGAGAAGAGGAAGGAACCTCTGGGGAGACAAGTGGCCAGAAAGATGTTTACACGTGAACTCTACGCCACCTCCTTCCTTTGGCAGGTAATGCCTCGTGAAAATAAAGCCTCTGTGGCCGGATCAGTTAAGAGTCAAAAGTAACTGTGATGGCTCTAAGGAGTGTGTGAATAGTTGATGTGGACAACATAATACAGCTTGAAATAAGCTCGACTTCCTCCTTTTCTCCTAGCTATAATTCCTCGGTGTCAACTACTTTGAGTAAAGTTGAAGTTGGTCAATTCTCCTATGGCCTATGTAGCTCTAACACCACACTTCAGCTTCTGTATATAGTCCATTGAGAGTGTATAGGATCACCTGTGTGCTTCATGATTTCTCTCTACCTCAGCTCCTGATTGTGACCATGCGTTCAGTCAAAAACCTCATGAGAAGTCCTCAACTCTCTGTGTTTCAGGTATGTATGTATATACAACCTAGCTACTTTCCTAACTAAATCACACTACATCAATTCTGTTCTTTTAGCTCATTTTCACGAGTGGTTTGGCAGTCATAATTGGCATCATCTACTGGCAGTTGGACACCCAACCGTAATGGCTTCACAGACAGGTTATTGCCGAGCGCGTTAGCGTGAGGCAACTACTCCGGGTTGTATTCTCGAGATATGTGTATGTACGTGTCGTCACGCTTAAGAATGTCAATTAGTCACGCTTAGGAATGTTAACTTCCGTCATTCGTTGATAGGAAGCCTGGCTTCGCAGTAGAGCGCGCGCACGAGCGGCCTCAGTCGGACTGTTTAGCATTGGCTGGCAGGCGTGAGGGCAAATTGCGCTGCGCATCACATTATCTATGAAAAGCACTAAAGTGCAAACCCTCGGCAAACTGGGATGCGCTGTATCCGCTAATTGATGGCTAGGCGCATTATATGCGTTTACTCGTGGCTCCCGCTAGTAACTCGCAGAGAGTCTGACACAGGGCTAGCTACAGGAGTAGATAGTATATGCGAGTCTATACACTCCTGCTTGTGACTTCTTGTGCCTTCAAGATACACAGAGCAAGCGGACCCGGTCGAGGAAGCCTGTTGAAAATATAAGCGCATGCGCGTTTTCCGCAGCGATAAAAATGGCCGACTACGTATTAGCCGTACAATGGTGGAAGCGCTCTAGCTCTGCAACGGAGCATTTTCAGAGAAAACCGCCTTTAGTTTCTGACCGTGGTATCGTTTCTGGGACGAACAGACGTTCGAGGAGTGAGATATAGAGTAACAGACGAACAGACAAACAGACGGACCCAACTACTGTACCCTCGCTGCGCATGCGCGCCGAGGGTAATGATGGCCAGTGCAATACTTTGTGGTTATTTAAAAATCATAATTCTCGTATCTCTTAGTTTACTTGTAACTTGGTGCAAATGCTATAATAATATACCTGTTACTGCTATTCTGGCACTACAAATAGCTATAGGCATGAATCTTAGCGAGGTATGAGCATTTGAACAACTGTGCAACTGTAGGCAGCGCAAGTTGGTGGAGGTTTTGCTTTAGTGGTAGTTGGTCTAAAGAGCTGGGGCTGTTATTGTTGTTCTCCTCTTTTCCCAGAATCGGAGTATTCTTCTTCGTTTCTACCAACCAGGCGTTTGGTAGTCTCGGAGCTGTCCGACTCTTCATCACGCAGAAAGCACTGTTTATGTGAGTCAGACAAACAGCAGTGGAAAAGTATTGCGTTTTTATTCCATTTTTGCTTCTTTCTTGTTCATGGCCAGTCATGAGAATGCCAGTGGGTACTACAGAGTGTCTGCGTTTTTCATCTCCAAGATTGCTACTGATCTTATTCCTCTTCGATTTCTCCCAAACCTCTTATTTACAGTCATAATCTACTTCATGATAGGTTTGCTAGTAGCTAACGGTATTCTTACGTCTATTACAGCTGTAATGTCCGTTCATCTATGAAGTTTTATTTCTGTTGATTTATGGGTGGGATCGTTATTTATTACAGCAAATAAATGGGAATTTTTTGGCTAAACCATAAATTTTCCTATCCTAATCATTATTCGCATTCTAAGCTTAACTTGTCTGTATCAGGTTTACAGGTGAAGGCTGACAAGTTTTTCATCTTCTGGTTGATTCTGACGTTGGTGAATGTTAGTGCCGTGTCCATCGCGTTTTTCATCAGTGCCGGAGTCAGGAATGGCGAAATTGCCAATCTACTCATCATTCTCCCCTTCATTTTCTCCCTGGTCAGTGGAACACACTAGCTCGCTTCAGTTGCTGTCATAGCATGCAGTGGACCCCCTCACCAGTGTGACAGAATACTATGTCTACAGAGTTAGGTGGGGTGTCCTTTTTTCAGGGGTCTTAATAATGTGGGATTATTCCTATCAATTGTTTGTGTTTTTTTAAAGTTGTTTGCAGGACTTCTGATATCCCTTGATTCCTTGCCGGTGTGGGTGGCTTGGATGAGGCACTTTAGTTTCATGAAGTATGGCATCGAGGTGTGTATTAGAGTATATTATTATTACATTTGTATAATTATGAATGCTACTCAGGCCTTCTCCATCAACGAGATGAACGGTCTGCGTTTCCAGGGACCTTGGTAGGTATGCTTACACGTGATTGCAAATTGCAGTGCATTTTAGCACTTAACCAGCCACGGACACATGTGTCCAGAGCCTCCTCCATAAGTTCATAAGAATTTATATTGGGGCTATAATACTAGGCGCTAATACTTTATACATCAATTTCTGCTTATTTAAGTTAAAGGCAGAAAAGTTTTTTAATGGTACACCCCTTCTCTCTCTTATCTATATCTAGCACAGCCTGCTGTATAATAATTATACTTGCATAATTAATGCAATTATTCCCCATTGTTTTTTGCAGTCAGGTGGAGCAAGTAGTGGATGTAATGCAGCAGGAGTGTACCTCATTTACTGTCCCCAACAATTGCACGTATGTTGTAGCTTATCATTGCTCATTCAGTGTCTGTGAGTGGCATTAACAAAGGCAAAACCAACAGATTCTTAACATGTGAAGTTACACAAATTTGTGCATCCATTGCATCAAGTAATCATAGGGAAATTTTCTATGAAGCAATTTGGTGACACCCAATAAAACTCAAAGTTGGCTTTGGGGTAAGATTCAAACTCATGGCACACTGCTCTCTATAATAGGCCGAGTGCTCAAACCACTGAGCTATAATTATACCAGGGTAGCTCAGTAGGTAGGGGGTCAAATCTAACACAACACAAGGCACATACTCTGGTGCTATTCCACAGAGACTCACCACTTAATCTAGAAGCAGCGAGGGATAATTAAACCACTGAAAGATGCCAAACTCCAAGAAGTAGACTGCATTATTGGACTAGCTATAGTTACAACCTGTAATTCAGTGGATGTCACTGTATTGCATATATACTCAGGACTGACTGTGCATTTGATGGACTGGCTCAGCTGGGCCAGCTGGGATATGGTAACACAGTATCTGTTCTCTGGTGGGACGTGTTTGCTCTCGTTCTCTATGCTTCCATCTTCCTGGTCCTCGCCTATGTTGTCCTCAGGCTCATCAAGAAAGAAAAGTGACTTAGCCTGTTTAGTTTATACCTCGTTTCTATAATGTATTTCTGTATAATAGATGGAAATTCATTTCAAGTTAGAGTTTGTCGCAATAACGGGCTGAATTTATTTACGTCCATCGCGCTCCTGCTAGGAAATCATGCAATAATCAGCTATATAGCATTATTTCGCTATGTTCCCTTTACCCCAGTCAGAAACATGTAGCCCAACATGTCTTCGTCCTGCAGTTTCTTCATAGCCTCCGGGTCTCCAGGACACGAATAACTCCGTACACCCGAAAATCCCAGGTTTTTCAATTGCTCCGCGACGTAGCTTGCCGAAATATTTACAAGTGTATGGGGAGTCGAGCCAATGTAGTATGTTCCACTCTCGCGGTGCATGTTTCGCTCTGACAGGTAAAGCATGAGTGTGCCTCCCGGCTTCACGAAAGTTGAAACGTTTTCAACGTTCCGTCGGAACTGCGCGAGCGTTGCGCAGCAGTCTATACACGACGGGGAGATAACGACGTCGTAAGGACCTTCGTGTCCTTCTTGGATGATGCGCGGGGCGGTGAAATCGCACGAAACGACCCTTTTCACGACGCTCCGCACCAGCGCCTCTCTCGCCCTCGCTTCTTTAGCACCCTTGCCTTCGAGGTCCGTGACCACGTGATCAAAGAACGGCGACCAGTCGAAACTGTGAAAGGTCCCCTCCAACCAGGAGTGTAGAACGTCCCGATTCCCGCGGTTGTACTCAGCGAGCGTAATTTCAGAAGCGTGTGGAGCGGCCGAGATGATGTTCATTATCACTGGTCCTGTCCCGTACTCGAGGATTTTTAGGGAGCCCGGCAGACTGGCAAACTCCTCGTGGAGTCGTCGTAGAGGAAAGAGGACGCGCTCTTTGCTTCTCATATTATTCCCCAGCCTCGTGTGAAGGTAGGCAAGTGGATCGAACTTTTCTCCGTTGTTCATGTCTTTTTGTCTTATTTTCTCGCTAGCTAGATGAAGCTTACTGAGCATGCGCGCGTGGAGGAGGAAGGAGGGTGTGTACATGCGGCGCTGTACGGTTTCATATAACCTTGTTCTCGCGCGGAGACGTTGCGTATAATACTAGAGCTTGAGGGGGTTTCCGGTTGGTCCCGTAATGTCACCCGCTACCCTTCTCGCCGTCTACAATCTGTTGCTGACTGTGGCAGCACAGCAGTGGCGACTGATACACGAATACCCGGCCGCGGAGAAAAACAACTTTACCTTCGTCCGCCTGACGTGCACCGAGCACAACGACGATTTCCAGACGCCCCTGAAGAACGCGACGTTCATGTGGAACGTGGGGAACGACTCAGAAGATGTGATGATGATTCGCACGATGAGAGCGGAGGCTGATGATGCAGGGAGCGTGACGATAATGCTGACGCAGGAGTACGAAGGGAACTACACATGCGTCGGCCCTAACGGAACATCTGACGCCGTACCTCTGGCCGGTATTAAGCATCTCTAGCTTGTATTTTACACTGCTGGGATTAATTTCTTAGCTACCTAGCTAAAGGTTCAGTTTGTGCATAAATGAGCCTTTACTCTTGAAGTGTTGGCCACACAAGAAGTCAGAAGCGAGGGCTCACACTATTGTTATATGAGCCACTTTCATGGTGAATTCCTAACTACCAACTATGGAAAAGTCTAGTACACTGTTGTCTTACAATGCCCAAAGCATGAATAATAATATCCCGGGAATCCCTGGGAAACTGCTGACTTAGAAATCCAAACTAGGTTTTATAGGAATCACCTAGGAGACAACTGAAGACACACCAATGGTGTGAATGAAGTTGCAAAGGGTATAGGTTCACATCGGTGCAGCCCTTTCTTCCACCAACTTGGTGCAAATCTTTATTATCGTGGAAGCTATTATATGGATTGTACATGCTCCAACCATTAGCTATGTACAATAATTATGAAGAGTGTTAGCTATATTATAGTTAATCACAAAATCTTTACCATGCCACAGATGATGCAGTTTTTAATATTATCCTAAAGCTCTATGCGTAACAAAGCAGCATAGCTTTATAATTATGCAACACAGTATATACCTAGTGTTCCAGATTAAAATCTGCATGTGTGGGAACAGGGCCGTCTTGCCTGAATGACTAAAGTATACCAATGAATGCACACTAAGAAAATAGTTGGGCCGATACGGAAATTTTTTTACAAACCAATAACACAGTCTTCTGTACAACTACTAACCTCCTAACAAACAGCAACCCACTGTGGAAATATCACCACTTACGTTTTTCCTGCACCTTTTACTTAATATTTTTCACAGCACAACCACCGAGTTTCGGCAACATCACTGTCGTCAGTATCACTGTCAGTGATAAACAAGATGTCGTGCTGTCTTGTCTAATCCAGCCTGGGAGACATAAAGATAAATACCATGTCACCTGGAAACAGTTCAACAGCGACAACAAAGTTGTGATTCTCAGCACAGAATCGTTCAATATATCAGTCAATACGAGTCTATCGATGGCAAACAATGTGGCATATTATGCCTGCGAGGTCAAAGTTGTCTACGATGCAAGCCACAGTGCGTCTTATCCAGGAGGGAAATTCCGGATTATGATGAACTATGAACATGGAGATCCAAACGTTACTATTGCTAACAAAGCAGGAAGTGACAATAAAGAGCCACACCATAGTAAGGGTGAGTGAGGTCACTAACTGTGACTCTGTGGTTTTTGGTATGGAGAGAGTGTAGGAGTATTGTAGTGGGTCTTTCTTGGGAAAGAGAAAGTACTACCTAAGGGAAATGGCAAATTAGACCGCAACTAAATATGGGCTTTTCGAATCGCTCCACACTCACTTGGGTAGTTAAGGTTGTGGTTGGTAATCGCATGGAATTTTAGGTCCTTTCCCGTTCGTTAACTATGCTCGCTCACTGTATATCACACGTACAGTATTATATGCACCAGCACCTCTTACAATCGACGCTTCGAAAACGGACACCCATGATGCTTGATCCCCTTTAGATGGAACTAAGCAATGGTTGAAGAATCCGGTTAGGTTTTCCTTTTTTTGCATTTCCTTTTTTTGCACTGCTACGTTCCTTTTAACAACTCTAAAGGGTTGATTTTTTTCCATTCTCAAGTATGATGATTGTTTGTTTTTTTAATCCATCTCTCTCATTAGATCAGTCTACAATAATTTTGCTGGCAGTTGGCATTTGTGGAGTATGCATAGTTCCTACTGTAGGGATTGTGGCATTGATAGTCTTCAACAGGAAATCCAAGCACACTGCCAGGAAGTGCACCACCACAAAGTGCACTACTAGCACTTCACTCAGAGGGAGTTATGCCAAGGCAAAAAGCCACCGAGAAGTACTTTCTACGACAGAGCAAGGGCTAGCAAGCAGGGAGCAAACACTTGCCTTAACGGAACAAGAGCTGCAACTGAGGGAGCAAGGACCTACACCAATGGAGCTGGAAGAGATAGAAAGACAGGCCGAGGTGTCCTCGCACCAAGTACAAGTCCAGTTTGAACTAACCAGCGATGACGATGACAATGATTCTGACTCTGCACGAGTTGTATCTTCGATGAATGTGTCCGACGACGTGTCTTTCTCGCCGGATTTCTACGGCAATAAAACGAGTGTTTCGACTCCCTGTTTTGAGTATGCCCTCGAAACACTCTCGCAGAATGCTCCAAGTCATCCCAAAGCACCTGCTGCTCTATTGGAGCCCTTTTCTCCTCAAAGTATTGCACTGTGTAGGTCCAGTGAAAATGATGGATCTTGTAGAAATCTCTCAGACAGTGAATGTACCAATCCACACTCTCAGTGTCACCAACTTCGCATGCAAGCACTGCTGAATCCCAAACAAATCCGACATTCGGCGATCGTTGGTACCAATTCTGTGAAATGTATGGCTCCCGACTTCACGCATAGGACGTATGCTCTACAAGATTGCACAAGCAAGGGGCTCATGCACACGGACGAGGAGTTTGGATTCGTTATTGAGATTCCTGAAGGGGCCGTCCCCCAAGGGATGAGGTTGACGATAGACGTTGCCATCTCTCTCCACGGGCCATTTCGCTACCCTCAGAAGGTTCGGCGCATCTCTCCCATAGTATGGGTCTGCGTGCGGGACTCTGACAACTTTCAGTTTCGAAAGCCGGTAAAGGTATCTCTGCAACACTGTCTCAACGTTAACCAATCGGACGACCTGGAACTCACTGGGAGTCCGGTTTTTAAAAGCCGGGCACTCGTGCGACGAATTCGGCCTGTACAGTTTCCAGCCAGCCGATGGAACTATGGAACAAGGGGCACGGGATGATTACCTCACCCTCTTAACAACTCACTTCTGCTATATGTGCCTTGTGTCTAACGAAAGGCCCGACACCCAGGCAAGAATGAAGTACTGCCTAACTACGTTCCACCCCGCCCCTGTCTTCCAGAAAGATAACGACAAAATCCACATTTATGTTTCGTTCTTCCTCAACGCGTGTCTCGTAACCATCAACAAACAGTGTGGCAAGGGTCTTAAGAAGCTGCCTCCACGTGGATTTCACTTCACGAGAGACAACTGTCTCTCTATACAATTTGAAGAGCCAGAGAATTGGCTACTGGCTTTGGAATCGAATGAAGAGGTAAGATATATGTGTGTCAATTCTGACAATGAACAGTTTAGTATAATTTTATCGCAGTATGTGTGCAATATAATGGTACTGCATAAGCTTGCAAAAGTATATACAGCATTCCCGATATTCACTGGTGTAATTCAGGGGTGTGCATTGCAGCTCGAATAAGAGTATAATAATATATCTGACAATGTGGTACCCCCATCGTACCCTAGACCCACGAGCTTGTTTGTACGCATGCTACGCAAACAACCCACACACAACCCGGTACCTTGGTACTAGAAATCCGAGTGTTTGCTCTTCAAAAATAACCGAGGAGCCTACATCGAGCATCATAGCGCCAGTTGCGTGCGCACCTCTTGAAATTCTTCTCCAATTTGGTACATAATCACTGCCCCACACATTTTCCCCACCAATGCTACCCATCAGATCACAGCAGAGGATGTGGATTTCCAGCACAAGGATCCCCAGGAGTTGATCATGGAGGAGAGGGAAGGAATGTATCCACCAAAGTTCACCGTCAGAGCGCATCCCCTGCCTGATGCCCAGCCGTCTAAAGTCCGTTTCAATTTCAGCGGAGGAGAAAAGAGAATGGCCATGGATATCTTACTTCTGACTGAAGGTTTGGTGGCTGTTTTGTGTGCAAAAGAATGTTATTACAGCCAATTAACTTCATCAATAGTTATTAGAAGAATGTTAGTTCTACAGTGGAGCCCCTCTAAAAAAGATCACCCCAGTAATGATGACACATTTTTCTAAGAAAAGGACAATTTACAGTGGAACTATTCAGGCCTGAGTGTCCTTATTAATGAGGTTAATTCCTCGGTTATTTCCAGGGTTACAATAATTCATGCACATTGTTATGGGGAAAGAAAAGGAAAGAGTAGGTGTGTCTTTTTTCCTGGAGTTCATCAGAGAAGAGTTTAAAACTCTTTGGACGCCATGGGAATCTGCTTAAATAAGCAGAAATTGATGTATAGTGTATTAGTGCCTAGTATTATATAACCCCATTCAAATTCTTATGGACTTATGGAGGCTCTGTGCACATATTATGTGTCTTGGCTTGTTAAGTGTTAACTATCTCTTTGATAATCAGCCAAATGAATGTACTTATTAGCTACTCCACAGACTAGAATTGTATGCACAGATTCTTCCTATATTACCGAGTATAATATATATAGTATAATACCAGCTCATGTTTCCCTCTCTGTCCTATGTACAGCCCATAGAGGTACAGCTGAGAGAGTGACACAACTTCAGCTACCAGACCGTCGGCGTTCCTCCAGTCCGTCTGTCAGCCCTGAACCCTCTCCCACGAGAGTGTCTTCTCCTCTGAGAGCCCAAGACTCGACCGTGCCGCTCCACGCCTTCATGGAGTACGTCGCAGTCCACGCCAGAACCAAGTGGAGGTTCTTTGGAATCATGGTAGACATACCGCCAGACGTCCTCGACTCTTTTCCCGGACACGACTGTCTCCAGGCATTTTCGCGCGTGTTTGAGTTCTGGGTGCGGAGGGCAGACCCTCTCGTTACCTGGGAAGCAATTGCCAGCGTCCTGGAGTCGGACACGGTCGACGAGAAGAAATTGGGGGACGACATTCGGAGGAATTTCGTGCCGTGCGTTCTCCAGCAACCCAGAGTCATGGATCGCAGTGTTTCGACCTACTCCAGACAGACGAGGTCCACTGATGACACTGGATATGGGTCCCAGCAATCTAGGAGTGATAGTGCACCCACGATGAGAGTCTCCGACGTTTAGCACTACTATGAAATGTTTGGAAGCAACTGTTTATTTTTACCATTCTGTTTTATATCTATCTATCTCTTTCCTCTGCTCAAAATCAAATTTTGAATAATTATTCTTGCACCTTAACCCTCGGCGCGCATGCGCAGCGAGGGTTACGTTTGTCTGAGTGTAGTGTCTGTTACTCTAAATCTCACTTCTCGGGTGTTTGTTCGTCTCACAAAGGATGTGACCTACTTAACGGGCAACGAAGGTCAGAAAAGGTCAGAAAATTCGAAGGGTTTTCTCTGAAACTGCTCCGTTGCAAAGCTAGAGCGCGAAAAAGTCAATTGCAAATACACAACGGCTTACCGCGGTCTGATCGATCCGCGTACCTCGGAGGCATCAGAAGATGCAACGCAGGGCGTGTATCGCCTCTCGCATGCTACAAATATTAATTCCGCTCGAACGAACGACTAAGTTGGCTCGCTCCCGCTCGAGCCAATTATTGCTGAATATGCACGCGTGCGCATTGGCCACACCCTGACTCTATTCCATTCCGTTCCGAGTAAAATAAGGGGCGTGTTGCGTACCGCCGGATATCCGGACGGGTATCCGGAGTGCACTAGAAAAAGGGGAGAAGAAGCTCGAACGAGTGTGTGGTGCCTGTCGTGCATCGTTTCGTCTGCGACTGATATAAGTCTGTACGACACACGCACACAGGTCCTCGAGCACAGGGAATCGTGAGCAACAGCCGTTCCTTGCAACTAGTGAGTCTCACTGTCATAACCGTACGGTTTACAGAGGCGGTGAGTGTTACTGGTAGATCATAGAGTAATTTGTAGAGAAGGGCGGGCGGGTCTCATCTGGGCGTTAATCACGGTCTCCCTACGGATATTCCTCCCTTCTCTCATTACTTCCTAGCTTCTCCGCTTTTCACCTGCCCGAGTAGGTAACTGTAAATACGTCTAAGGGCACTACCGTTACGCGTTCCGCGCAGTTTATCCTTGCGTAGCTATAAGCGTTGGTAACTCTGAGTCTATCGCCAAGTACACTAGTAGCTATCCTATTGACAAGAATTCCCTTTGGAGTTTCGTTGTATACTGTACCACCGACACTTGTACTGTAGATTGTAGAAGAATTTATCGACAGATTGTAGGGTTGTATGGAACATATGGACTTGTTCGAAGTGAGAGAGAGGCGAGCCTTTTGCTGAAGATTTACCTGTCCATTATTAAAATGGCCTCCCACATTGTTTGCGTGGCGTGTATAGCGTTGTACAGGTCTATGTAACTAACGATGATTGGTGTACAACTGACCTGGTACTGCTTGCCAACGGAACATAGTTTTGTGTAATTTTACAACAAAAGAAGCACCTACATGCAATACAGCTAAAGCCCTTAAAACAAGGACACCTCTCTACCTTATCTTTCAACGAGATCAGTTCTTCCACGTGAATTTAACCCCTGAAATAGAGACTTTTTCTAGTACGTATGGGCGAGTTTTCTTGTGTCCCATTGGTGTCTGTATTAGAGAGTGGTTCAACTGTACTCTCCGTGGTTCAACTGTACTCTCTGGGGAAGTAAACTGCATTAGAATTACCAGTGGACCTGTTGTGTTAAAATTATGTGTGTGTGTGTGTGTGAGTTCTTGTTGGTTTGACTTGTACTCAACCTTCTCTATGAACATGTTCGCAAGGGAAACGAGGTGTGTAGGATACTTGTACTCTTGTAGTTCGACCGCATCCTCGAACCAGGTGTACGTTTGTATACATCTGTACTTGGACATATTAGCTCTAATGCAGATGAAAGGTGGTATGGTTCCCATTTTGTTATTGTACTTAATTTCCAAAGGAACACATTGTTACTATTGTGTACACGTTGTATGACCCTTATTATTAGAACAAGGTTGCGTATGAGTGCTGATGTGTGCAGTATGTTTGGGTGTGCATATCACGTGGTATTTTCTATATGGTTACAGAGAGACTACTGTACCCATGCACTCGTGATATGCATAGTTTGGTTGATGTGTGGAGACACAGTGCACTGAGGTTATAAGTGGACTATAGGACTCTTTTATTGATCACACACACTTAATTCTGTGAGTTTTTAGTAAACTCATGCCCAGTGCATCCAAAGTGACTACTGCTGTCTTTGTGGCCACTCACTGACCGAGTTTTTTTTGTTTTTTCGTTATGTTTTGCAAACACGTCAGTGCCCTGCCATCTACTAATGCGTACAATAAGATGCAGTGGGACGAGAACGCTTTACCTCGACAGCAGAGTGTCGTGGGTTCGAGTCCCACCCAGAGCAGCCTATATTATACTACCTCTGTGTACAGTATGTATGTAGTTGAGTTGTTGCCTTGCACCTCCCTATGTCCACACACTGTCGAGGTCATGTACACGTGTACAACAGTGGTAGTACATTACAGTGGAACCCCTCTAATCCGGGCACCAATGGGACAGATGAAAGTGGCCATGTTATATAATTGAGGTGTCCTTATTTCGGGGGTGGAATTGCGTGCAAGAACTGTTCTTGGAGGAAGAATTGAGGTGTCCTTATTACAGAGATGTCCTCATTTCAGGGGTGTTCTTATTAGAGAGGTGTCCTCATTTCAGGGGTGTTCTTATTAGAGAGGTGTCCTCATTTCAGGGGTGTTCTTATTAGAGAGGTGTCCTCATTTCAGGGGTGTTCTTATTAGAGAGGTGTCCTCATTTCAGGGGTGTTCTTAGAGGTGTTCCACTGTGTAGTTGTGTTGACTTGGAAACTGGAAGGATCGTTGTGGTATGGCCAGTTTCCTGGTCCTGTTCCCTGTTTGTTGACCACTGACATCTGTTGTATGTATACTTCCTTTTCTGATGTCCACCCTCCCACTCACTCCTTCCCTCTCCCTCCTCTCCCTCTCCTCTCCCTCCCTCCTCTCCCTCCCTCCCTCGCCCTCTCCTCTCTTTCACTCTCCCCTGTGAAAACCTGTTTACTGCAGAGTGTCATGGGTTTGAATCCCACCCAGGGCAGCTCTTCTTCTTTTCAAAGAGCTGTCCTGGGTGTAGGCGTAGTCGACTTGTTTGCCTTTCTACCTCGTAGTTTACACATGCACAGATATAGCACGTGGACTCTGTTTCTCAATCCACTTTGTGATGTGTATATAAACTGCTAAACTGGACAACAAACGGTGAAAGTGTAATTGTAATCTCTACCGCAGTATATGCAGTGTAAGATATACACATACATACTTGTGGCTAAGCGTATAGCTACAAAGGGCTTTTCCACCCACTTGAGTGGGAAAAAACCCGTTTATGATGTCCACTTTTGCCAGAAAGCAGAGTGACGAGTATTCGAATCTCGCAAACTGTTCTTGGGGAAAAAAAGTTGCCCTTCTTAGAGGGGTGTCCTCAATTGAAGGGTGTGCTTAGAGAGGGGTTCCGGCTAGAGGGGTTCCACTGAATTGAAAAAACTTAATAGTGCGCGCGTGTGTGTGTGTTGTGTGATTTGTGAAGAGAGAAAAGGGAGATGGGTTAAGGAGAAACAGGGGGAGGGGGTGGGGAAACAGGGCTGGGAGGGCTTTTGTCCGCATCGCCCGGGCAGCAGCCCAACATTCATGCGGTCTTAGTCTAGGGACTTACTACGCCCACAACCCGCGAGCACAGGAGTGTCACTATTATGTATGGTATGTATTTGGCCGGTCATCAGGGAAGTACCTATTTCCGTCATTGTATGACAACGGGTTTCAGTCCCTTTATCTTTCCGACCCGTGCGTGCGTGTGTGTGTGTGTGTTTTGGTAATGAATAGATTCCAGTATCCCTGTGCCAAGAATGGTCTTTTATCTCACTTTACTCTTCCCTTAAAGCATTGTTCTCACACGGCTATACTGTGGTTGTTGTGGGCTCTGCATTACCACGTACATAAGTAAGCTTTCGATGCACAATATACATAAGGTTTTTTTATTGCTTCGAATCTTAATACACGTAAAGTAGTTAGTTTTTTTTGTACATTCACATTCAAAACAAGTTACTAGGCAAAATCAGAAACTTTGTAGTGACCAATCAAATTGCTCGATTCAAATAAGCTACATATGCACTAGTTTACTTGCTAGCCAATAAAGAGTTGCTTGTGGTATGTACATACATACATACATACATACACACATATGACAGTGTTGTGGTATTATGCTGTTTGTAGCTGCAAGTATGTTTAGTACAACCTATGACACCATCTGGGTGTACCAGATGCTGTTGTTTGTGAATGTACTATATCACAACGGGATTGTGTAGGTGTCTCCATGACAGTATCCACAGTGATAGGTTATACATGACTCTGCAATCTGTCTGTTAGGATAGCGCGGTGGTTACTAACATAGTGAAAGTGAGATTAAAGATTTCCATGGTAAAAGTATTGCGTGTGTGATGTGCGTGTATGCTTGTCGTTTGCAGGTGTCTGGCGTGTTAGAAGTCTGTGGAGAAGATGTCTTCTCTTTTGACACAGTGGATGAATGTGAGTAACTCACTACGATACAGTGGAACTCCTCTAATCCAGACACCAGTGGGACAGAATAAAGTGTCCGTATTAGTGAGGTGTCCTTATTACAGGGATTAACAAGAAACCATTCTTGGGGAAAGAAAAGGTGTCCTTATTTCAGGGGTTGAATTGCATGCAACAAACCGTTCTTGGGGAAAGCTGAAGTAGTATTAGAGAGGTGTCCTAATCAGGGTGTCCTTAGAGGGTGTTCCACTCTAATTGGAGCCCCTTTCTAAGGATGCGGACACTCCAAAGAGCATTTCTGGCATGAAATGTAACTCCCACATTCATGTCCACCTGGTCTAATCCATGATCACACACAGTTACAAATTTTGAGACATGGCTGATTGTGTAATAGTAGCTCGTACTGAAGCTTTTACTGAGTGATCGACCATTACGTGAATCCTACCCAGGGCAACTCTTCTTTTCTTTGAAAAGAAAGAGCTGTCCTGGGTGTAGTTGACTTGTTTGCCTTGCTTTGCCTTTCTACCTCGTTACCAAGTTGTTGAGACATGCATGTACAGCAGGTATTTTATTTCTCTATCTATCTATCTATGTATGGCTGGTATGCTATGAACTATAATTACATGCATGTACAGGTATATACTACTGTACAAGTGAACATGCATGTACATGTATATACTACTGTACAAGTGAACATGCATGTACAGGTATATACTACTGTACAAGTGAACATGCATGTACAGGTATATACTACTGTACAAGTGAACATGCATGTACAGGTATATACTACTGTACAAGTGAACATGAATTATGCTAAATTCAGCACCAATCAAAATGTAACAGTTTTGATACACTACTGTAATGTGTCACTGTAATGCATGGTTTATCATCATAAGGACTACAACCCCCCTCTTCCCTCCCTCTCACTCCCTCTCTCCCCCCTCTCCTCTCCTAAAGCTGAGAATATATTTGGGTCATCACAGGCCACTCCAAGTCCTCCACCTTCAACCAGTATCGTCCCTTCTTCCACTACTGATGGTAAGTTAGCAAGCTGTCCATCCTGTACTACACGTTCCCTCATGTACATTATATATACACAAGGTCATATACATAGGCATTCATTACACATTGATCTTACCCGCTTCAAATTTGATTTCCGCTGCCTGCCATTTTTAGCTCTCTCATAGCACATGCACTGGTAGTGCAGAGGAAAGGTGTCCCTAGAGAAGACTTCCACTGTAATGATAATTGTGTCTCCTAAACTCTGACTTATACTGAAATGGTTCCGTCGGTCGTATTATGCCTAAAATGACTGTGGTGTGTCTGTGTTTGTGTTGCAGAGGTCAAGAGTGCAGGTGGCGATAATGAAGACTTGTTCCCTGGTGACAGTGTGAGGGAGGGGAGGGAGGAGGGAGGGGAGGAAGATGGTAGTGATACTAGGGCGGTGAACCAAGGAGATGGAGAGGGAGAGGGAGAGGCGGTGAAGGAGGTAGAGAAAGAGGAGGAGAAAGAGAAAGAGGGAGAAAAGCAGGGTGTTACTCCAGTTGAAGTGTCCACCGACCCACTCACCAGGTTAGTGCAGTGGATACTGGAATTTCATTACCAAAACACACACACACACACACACACACACACACCCTATTAAGCCTTTTCAATGCAGAGGAACCCCTCTAAAGGCACCCATCAGTATTTCATTGCTTTGTATAGCATTTGACTGAACGGTGTACGTATAAAGTTTTAGAACTTAAACAATAAGTGAAGAGAGAGAACAATTTTTACTAATTTTTAGCCTGCCACATTCCCTTTAATGTTACATGCATATCACTAGTGTAGACTGAGGTACTCAATGTTATTTACATATATCGTAGCCCCATACATCTATGACGCTAGGTACCATGCCAATCCCTATATACTAAGTACTACCGTACTTGATCTCCACCCAGAATCTCCTTGATTCCATTTGTATCTCATTCCCTCTAGTGCTGTAGACGAGGCTAAAGAAAAGAGTGAGCCACCCAGTCAAACCAGTCGACAAACCAGTCAGACCAGTCAGACCACTAGTCAAACCAGTCGACAAACCAGTCAGACCACTAGTCAAACCAGTCAGGCCGATCAAGAGGAGGACATCTTCAAACCAAGGTGTGTATGCTGTGATCATACTCAAGTACCCACTCATGCGGGAAGAAATGATTGTGTTTATTATTAAATCTCGTTGCAACTCACATGGAGTTTGCTACATAAGTCCCCGTTTCCCCGCGCAACCTGTGCACGAGTAAAAACAAGTGTGCATCAATTGGAGTACGTACTGAATGTGTTTCAGCACCTCATCAGTTGAAATCTCCATTATGCTTCTGTCGAACTAATACAATGTGTCAAATGTCTGTTGTTTTGTAGTGATGAAAAGGTTGGAGATGACGAGCCGTTGTCAGCAGCAACTGAACCTCAGAAATCAAGAGATCTTTTCTCTGAAGAGTACGTTTGTGTACACAACGTCAGGGGCGTAGCCAGGATCGAATCTTACGGGAGGCATTCGCATTTATTTATTATTCGTGATTAATTGCGCGCATGCGCAATGATGTTGCGCAATGTCAGTGTTTACTTGAGATCATCACGGAAGGCTAGAGCAATACGGTGATGCCCGGAGCGATCCCAGGCTTGCAAGATGTACACTCTCTGGAGGAGATGTCTGCTCTTGGTTTTATGTAACCGAGTGCTAACTGCATGCTCTCGCTGTTGACGCTCGTCGTTGGTTACGCTGCGAAAAGTTGAAACGAAATTATTCAGAAGTCGGCAAAAACAGACGAGGCAACTTCCACAATATGCTAGCTACGCCCCTGAACATACACCCTGCCTTGATACTTAAAACTTCCACTAGTTGTTTTACACATAATCACATAATTATGTTGCAGTGCAATGGACAGTGGTCTATTTGGCTCCAGTACCTCTGCCAGATCCAGGGACATGTTTGCTGTAAGTCACCGAGCACCAACTAGAAAAATATTGTGGAGATTATAAGTCTCATTGGTGAAATATATATGTTGGCAGTATACGTACCCAAAGTAACTTAAACACATCAGGGTCATTTTAGTCCTCATACATACGTATAAGCGCTTGAAACAACTTTGAGCACCACCAGAAATAATGTGTGATTTACAAATACAGTATGACAAAGTAACATACATTTGTATTACATAACATTGGTGAAACTGTTTTTCTCTTAAAAAGTACGGCGATTGCTAAGTTGTTGTTTTTGCGGTGCAGCCTGTAGGTGGTGATGGTGACGATTTGTTCAAACCGCAAGTGAAAGAAGAGACTTTGTTTCAACAGCAGGGGGCAGTGGGAGGAGGAGGAGGAGGGGGGGGAGGAGGAGGAGAGGGCGATGGTGAGAGAGATTCACTTGTGCAATGAGCTCTGTCTATTTCACCACTCTTGTATATACGTAGCTGGCTCCTCTAGACTGCAGAGTCTAGTGGTATCAAGTCCCACCCAGGGCAGCTAGCTCATTTTCTAGGTTTTAGGTATCATTTAGGCTATATGCGTTTGTGCTTTCATACCTACATAAGTCAAGATTCATTTAGACTTGAAAGAGGTACCGCAAGGCAATTCAACTACTTAAACTATTTTTCTAAGTGGGACTTGAACCCGCGACACTCTGCAGTCTAGGCGAGGGCTCAACCAACTGAGCTACCAGGGCAGCTCAGCAGGCAGGGTCAAATCTCAGCGCAAGCAAGTGAACAAGCCAATATGCAAATTAGCACAAGCTTACGTACCTAAACGCGTCTGCTCACTCTAAGGCACAAGAAGCCTCAACGAAGGGTGTATATCGACTCCGCATGCTATCTACAACTACTGTAGCTAGTCCGTGTCAGACTCTCCGCGAGCTACTAGCGGGAGACCACGAGTACATAAATAGCCCAGCCCATCAATTAGCGGTACCGCGCATACGCAGTTCGCCGAGGGTTTGCACTTTTGTGCTTTTTCATTGTCTCAGAGTTTGTGATGGTGGACAGTGGAGATGTTCCAACTCAAGAAGAGAAAACCTTGCAGAAGCCACGGGAGACCGCGAAACAAGATGATCAGGTACGTATACTGTAGGAAATTTTGGAAAAATAACGTGTAACGTGGAATATTTGAGACCAGTAAAAATGCGTTAAAAATATTACATTTGTATATTATTATAATTATATGTATACTGTGTCCAAATTTTACTACTGCACTTTTCATCCATGGGCAAAAAGTATAAAAAAATTAATGCTAGACCAAAAATTCTGTTTATACAAGAACAACAGTAATATTAGTTACGTTATGTTTTTGGTTAGGTAACTGACAAAGTGGCAGTCAAGTCAGACGATGTCAACCAAACAGTCACAGAAAAAGGTATATACAGTGGTTTATCACAGATACGCTACATACATACAGTGGTTTATCACAGATACACTACATACATACAGTGGTTTATCACAGATACACTACATACATACAGTGGTTTATCGCAGATACACTACATACATACAGTGGTTTATCACAGATACACTACATACATACAGTGGTTTATCACAGATACACTACATACATACAGTGGTTTATCACAGATACACTACATACATACAGTGGTTTATCACAGATACACTACATAATACGTGGTTTATCACAGATACACTACATACATACAGTGGTTTATCGCAGATACACTACATACATACAGTGGTTTATCACAGATACACTACATACATACAGTGGTTTATCGCAGATACACTACATACATACAGTGGTTTATCGCAGATACACTACATACATACAGTGGTTTATCGCAGATACACTACATACATACAGTGGTTTATCGCAGATACACTACATACATACAGTGGTTTATCACAGATACACTACATACATACAGTGGTTTATCGCAGATACACTACATACATACAGTGGTTTATCACAGATACACTACATACATACAGTGGTTTATCACAGATACACTACATACATACAGTGGTTTATCGCAGATACACTACATACATACTACAGTGGTTTATCGCAGATACACTACATACATACAGTGGTTTATCACAGATACACTACATACATACAGTGGTTTATCACAGATACACTACATACATACAGTGGTTTATCACAGATACACTACATACATACAGTGGTTTATCGCAGATACACTACATACATACAGTGGTTTATCGCAGATACACTACATACATACAGTGGTTTATCGCAGATACACTACATACATACAGTAGTTTATCGCAGATACACTACATACATACAGTGGTTTATCGCAGATACACTACATACATACAGTGGTTTATCGCAGATACACTACATACATACAGTGGTTTATCACAGATACACTACATACATACAGTGGTTTATCACAGATACACTACATACATACAGTGGTTTATCGCAGATACATACATACATACAGTGGTTTATCACAGAGACGCTAACAACATACAGTGGTTTATCGCAGATACACTACACTACAATACAGTGGTTTATCACAGATACACTACATACATACAGTGGTTTATCACAGATACACTACATACATACAGTACATGCATGGGTGAGTAATAGACAGCCTCGGTACTATATATAAGTTAGCGTACCACCATAATAATATTAGAACATTTTTAGGAGATGTGTTTTGTGTTTTTCGTACTTTTCGGTACCAAGAGTGAAAGTTACGTGCATTATTTGCAGCTATTGTTGCAGCAATGTGTTCTGCATGACATCATATAATATGGTAGCAGCTATAATCCCTTGAAATTTGCACCTTACTTAAGTGGCGAGCAAGACATGTACTTACACTGTTGTTGTCTGAATGCCTAAAGTACGTTTGCGCTGAGAATGCATGCGGAAGCAGATAATGAGGAGGGCGGTACTATTCACTCTCGCCGTATGTAAAGTATGCCGTAGGAATGTATGGGATTATGCATAACGTGCGTAGCGAAAAAAACTACGCAGCGGATTTGAACGAGGTAAGCGCTGAACGAACCGGAGTGTGAAGCCGCTACATTTTGATACGAGCGTGGCGCAGCAGGTGCTGGAATCGCAAGTTATTCTATATTTTGGAGGTACATTCTCAGCGCGAACCTACTTTAGTGCACCCACGTCCAGACTGCCCACATGTGTCTCTTGGCTTCAGTGGCATATGTCAATACGTACGTATAGTTGCAGTGGAGAATGAAGTGAAAAGTGTGTGTACTACATATGTTAGGAGAAGGAGGAGGGAGAGAAGGGGAGAGAGGGAGAGAGTAAGAGAGAGGAAGAGAAGATGAAGGAGGGAAAGAGAGAGGAGGAGAAGGAGGGAGAGGGAAAGAAAGAGAGTGAAGGAAGGAAAGACTCTCTTCTGGATAGAGATTTGGTAATGGCATTACACATGTACTGTACTGTACAAACTTACAGTAATGTTATGCTCTAAAGAGAGAACGTTTGTTTATGTAAACAAATAATTGAAGGGGTCAGAGCCAGAGTGGGCCAACCCTCAATATACAACTCTTGCCGTTTTTCCTTCAAATGTCCTTATAGAACAAAAACCGGCAAGAGTTGTATATTGAGGGTTGGCTTACTCTGGCTCTGACCCCTTCAATTATTACTGTATATTACATAAGTAGAGCAGGGGGTTTGTAGAGTATGTGTCAGCACGCCATGCTTGCTTTGCCTCATTCACATGCCACACAGATGTACACGTGTCTTTAAGGTGTGGTTTTGTTACTGCGTATTTTTCTTTCTCTATGGACGTGTAGTCTCAGACGACATATGAGGAGAGAGCAGCCATCAGGAAATACCAGAGAGAACGTACTAGACGATCACAGCTGTGATATAGTGGAACACCTACTCTCGAGGATTACCCCTGAACCTGCGCAATAAGGACACCGTTTTGCGAGCGGCGCAAAACGGCACAGCGAGAGCAAAAGTAAAGTCCCCCCCCCCCCCCCAAGCGACATGAAAAACAGGGAGGTAAAGGACGAGAAGAATGCGAATACTAGTTAAAGGAGAAAAATACCAAACCTCCCAGAGGAAAAAGGTCTCTGTCACTACACCTCGTTCCCCACAACTCTCCCCCTCCTTTCTCTTCTTAACCCATACCAAACACTGTGATATAGTAGAACCCCTCTCTCTGAGGATACCCCTGAACTTCTCTAATAAGGACACCTTTTTTCTAGCGGCCCAAACTGCACACTATAGCCGTAAAGTCCCCCCCGGTCTCTGTCACTACACCTCGTTCCCCACAACTCTCCCCCTCCTTTCTCTTCTGAACCCATACCAAACCACCTGTGATATAGTAGAACCCTCTCTCGGAGGATAAACTGAACTTCTCTACTACGGACCACCTTTTTCTACGCGGCCCAACACTCACACTATAGCCGTTAAAGTCCCACCCGGTTCTCCCTGTCCACTACACCTGTCCCACAACTCTCCCCCTATTTCTATCTTTAACCATACCAAACACACTGTGCATATAGTAGAACCCCTCTCTATGAGGACACCCCTGAAATGATGACACTTCTCTAATAAGGACACCTTTTTTTTAGCGGCCGAAATGCCTATTTTATCCAGCCGATTATGCTCAACTGATAAAGCATGTGAAGTTTGTGGTCACTCCATTTTTCACTCCTTAAAGGGAATGCGGTCGTATAATTACAAGAGCTAACATTAGCAAAGATAGAACAAAACAATAGGGGCACAGTGATTGAATTCCGTTTCTAGTGACACTCTAGATTATACTGCACCCACAAATTTCTTTTTCTGTTTAAACTCCCTCGATCCTTGATCTATCACAGAGCGTAACGCTGCAAGTGTCATCGGGAAGCGGACGGGACCAAAAGCCAGGAAGGACATCGCAAAAACGGCACCAAAAGACAGGCTCACACGCTCGGGTGACCACCACAGACAAAGACCACGACCGTGGAAGTGAAGATAAAGTCTGTCAAGCCGGGCCACCATTGCCACACCCTCGGCTAACCCAGTACCAAGACCAGCCCTGCATTGGTACTGTATGGTAGAGAAAGTTAGTGTATTTTTTATAGCATCGTGTATGTGGTTATTATTTAGCATGAAAATATACGTGTATAGCATAAGAGAGAGAAACAAAAAGTGACCCGTCCATTCTGTAGTACACGTATAAATTTATTTTATACACTCATACACAGCCATACCACGTTTTCTGCGACTACGTGCAACGATGACAATAAACAGCGATACCAACGGGTCATCGCTACACACTGGCTTCATTTCATAAAAGGCGATTTTCCCGTACACAGGGTTGCTTAACATACTTGATGCAACACTGCGCTATCCCGTCTGTATTGACCACACGATACAAGTGGCGTCTGATACGTGAGTGTCCCCTACGTGGGCCGCTGTATTTATTTACACTCGCACAGTCAAAAGATGGAAATCAAAACCACGTGACAGCTTCGCTCGCTAATGGTGATATCACACTCCTAGAGTACGAGTTTGCCGTGTATCAAGGCTGGTATGACTTGTACATAGAGCTGACTCATACTTTGTCAGAGTGTGATAAAAGCCCAGTACGCACCCTTGTCTTTAGAGCACATACATTGATTTGTTGTCAAGACTTTAGTCGTATAGTGCCTTACTGGGCTATCCTGTGTTGTGATCTCCACTTCACCGCGATACATACGGTATGGATTGCTCTTGGCAGGTATGACTATACTTACAGCTCCGCTAGGCTCGTATCTGTCACGTACGTTCGCATAGTGAACGTCTCCGCAGGATCTGTACCTTCATACATACATGATGTGTGTTGTGCTGCCATTTTTGTCCCTCCAACGATTAATTTCAAGATGTTCGTCTCGTGTTGAGATGCACGTCAAATTGTTTGTGTTGGTTGCCGTGCATCATACTGACTCAAGCGCGCTACTTGATATCGTACTATGGATCTGGCTTTATGCGTGTTACCTATATGCTGTACGTTAAGTTCGAAACTGACACTTGATTCATGTGTCAGTATAATATGTATTTGCTACATTGGGTTCTAGTAACGATCAGCGATGGTTGATCGACAGTAAGAAGTGATAATCCTCGCGTGTGCATGCGTGGTCTTCTGCGACAACGATGACAACAACAACAGCGATACAACGGGTCATCGCTACACTGGGCTTCATTTCTGTTGAAAATAAAAAGGCGCTTTTCGTAGCAAATATATGCGTTCAAAAGTTGCATCCGCTCGCTCTGTGTATCTTGCAGGCAAAAGAAGTCACACCGAAGGGCGTGTGTCGACTCACGCATGCTATCTACTACTGTAGCTAGTCGTGTCAGACTCTCTGACGAGCTACTAGCGTGCGATACACACGAGTAAACGCATGCTAAACAGCCAGCCCATCAACTAGTGGTACCGTGCATGCGCAGTTCGCCGAGGGTTTGCACTTTAGTGCTTGTCATTGTGTCACAGCAGCTCGCTAGACTAGTCCATTTTGCATGAGACTGGTGTGATGATTACAAGTGAAACACAGGCATGTATGTAGGTATGTTCACAGGGAGAAGGCAACAGCCAGTACTGCTGAGTATGAGGGTTGCACCCCTCCCCACTGGGGAGGTCAACATCAGGGCTCCATGGCGATCACTCTGCCTCCTCGGATACGGGTACCTAACATACACTGAACCACAGGCTGTATGGTACGAGACAACAGAGGGCTCTGGGATCTGTAGTGTCCAGGCTTGTATATGTATGGCGTCACGTTACAACAGTGGCACATACAGTGGAACCTCGTAATACGAAAAGACACAATGGGACAGAAGAAGAAAGTGTCCGATAATAGGGAGGTGTCCTTATTCAGGGGTATATTAAGGTTCTGGGGAAAGGAAAGGTGTGTCCTTATTAGAGAGTTGTCCTCATTTCAGGGTATCTTAGAGATGGTGTCCTCATTTCGTGTCCATATTAGAGACGGTGTCCTAATTCAGGGGGTCCTTAGAGAGGTGTCCTCATGTTCAGGGGTATCCTTTATAGAGAGGGTGTCTCATTTCGGGATGGTACCATATGAGAGAGGGTCCTTCTCATTTTCGTGTCGTAGAGAGGTGTCCTCAGTTTCAGGGGTGTCTCTTAGAGAGGGGTTCACTGTACAATGTAAGGCCACCCAAAGTAGGTTGTACTCGAGTGCTGCACAAGTGATCGAAAATGATCAACCCCTACCACATGTTAATCTCAATGGAACCTGAACCTTAAGCCTCGGCACCTTTCAAACACTGACATGCACAGGTATTGTACAGTTACTTAAAACAAGCTAGTATAAGTGCACCGTTCAGTACAGTGTTTGGATTATGCTGCTGGTGGTATACACGTACCATTCATGGGATTACAAGTAAGTCTGCAAGGCAGTACAGTAACACTGTGTCAAAGTGTGCTTTATACATATGTACACATCGTATTCAACAATCATAATATTACACAGTCCGAATGAATACTATGGAGAATGGCTGATAACCAGTGGCTGGCATGAGAGAGCCACAGGGTGTATGTGTGGACGTAATTGTAGTATCTTGATGGTTTATATTTGTACCACGGATCTGCAATTGTATTCGGCGAGACCGTGGAATGAAGTTATTGGTATGTAATTATGCATGAGGGGGAAATATATATTGCATATCGTGGTATAATATGTATGTATTGGGGTAGGCTGAATGGTGACTGTGTGTGCAGAGCTTGGCGGCAAAGTCCTGTGTGTTCATGGCCCTTTAGCCCCATGGCTATGACCACGACTTTTGTAACCTGGAGTCGCCAACGCACGCAAAGGGTGCCCTTCACCTAGAGGAAGGCAGTGGATGGGTGGTATGGCACGCGGTGGAAGTGGCGCCCAGTATTGTTCACTTCGGATAATAAAGTTTGTGAATTGTGGAATTAATAGTGTTTCAGGTTTTTTGATCGCCCTTGTTCATGTTAGTATTGTTGTGGTCTACCACAGTTAGCTGTGC